GGAAAGAAATTACTTGGTCAAATATGGTAGAACTTAAAATCATGACTGGCATCTAGAAAGCAGGAGAAACTGGTAGTCTCTCCCTCAATTATAAGAGCTATGGAGGCAGTAAATGAAGCTATTGAAAGTCTGGCTCAAAACAAAGGAAGCAGTTCTTCATGCACCACATAGTTTAACTGTGAAAACACCTGGAAAAGGATACTGTAGGTGCTAAAATGTTACATGAATTGAAGGGGAAAACAGCAAAGTTCATGGAAGAGAAACCCCTTGAGGGTTGCTAAATAGTTAGAAATCACACCTGGGCCTGCAATTCTTTGACCTCCAAAGGTGTGAAGGCCAGGAAAATACTAAGGCAAAGTACCTTGTTGCCCTGTCCTTTTTATCTGACCTAAGCAGCTCCTTGTGGCCTTGTTGCAGACAGACTGACCTAAATGGACCTTTGGTCTGACCCAGTTTGGCTTCTTTTATGCTGCTGTGTATCAGAAAATGCAAATTAGGTTCTAGGTTATATCCTCCTCAAAGACTAAAGCAGTATTGTCTCTCCAGGCAGTGACAATAGTGACAAAATACACAGATAACTAATACCTGTCCTCCATTACTTTTTTGTCATTGAATGATAAAAAACAAAAGAGAAGGTGATTTTTTATCAGATGTTTGCAGTTCATTTTCCACATACTCAGGTATGTTATCCCTTGCAACCTATTTGCTTAAGAATACTTACTACCCCAGTAAGCTTAACACATGTAGCTAGCCAATGTGGCTTACTAGAATGCTGTTGTATCGGACTTCATTTGAATTCAATTCTTTGCCTAGCAGAATAGAAGATGAAGAACAAAAAACGAAAGCAACCTTCTCTTCAAAACTTTCAGTTTTCCTTACCTAAGCGGTACATTATGATGATAGAGTAATTCTGCCAGTTTCATATAATCACCTGTATCTTCTTGGACAGGATCAACAAAAAGTACCTAATAAGAGAAAACATATTATACAGTCAATATTTATTCTTGATACCTGTTTTAATTTTTTTTCCGGACATAAAATCTAAGATAAGAACAGAAACTTCCAAAGGAGCTGTGCACCCCAACTGTTTTCAACTTCCTAGAGCATTCACTGCAAGAAAACATTAAGAGTATAAATGAAAATAACTTCAGAACTAATGAGTCTGGATCAAATGTTGAACAACAGGATGTAACCATTTATTGAACTTCATGCCAAGTGATATAACTACTCTCCTTTGAAAGACTCTGTGCCAATACTTTGTTTTTATTAATGAACTTGATATTTAATTAAAAAGAAACTAATGCTGATTTTTCTATTACTTCTTGCAACTAACTCTCCTCTGTCGTGAAAACCAAACTTAAATAAATAAATAGAGTATATTGACCTAAAACTTTAATTAAAAAATGGATCATTGGGAAAAAATTTTTCCCTCCTATCTCACATATATTTGTATTCAATCTTTCACTTATTGTAGCTTGAAATGTAAAATCAGATCTTTCAGGCATGCACAGAATCTAAAACTGGGATCTGTCTGCATAGGTAGATTATCCTTATGCAGATTTAATTATGACATTGATACCTTATTTATTCAGCTTTGCATTGCAGCTCCCACTAGTATTTATCATAATTTTGGCAGAGTATCTGAAACGCAGCAGAATAATTATAAAAATTCTGAACACTCCCTCCCCCTCAGATTATAGTTAAATGATATGTTGTAGATTACTATAATATAGCTGTTACATACATCTATGCCAATATTTAACTGTGAATACATAACGCAATCTACTTCATATTACACACATCTTATGCTTCATTATAAACATACATTTTTCATTACACATTGCTTGTATTTTGGTCATCTTTTTATATACTGAACTTCATGTCACTTGGAGTGACTACACCAGTGGACAAAGGAACAGCTACTGATGTTGTCAATCTATCTGGACTTCTGTAAGGCCTTTGACACAGTCCCCCACAACATCCTTCTCTCTAAATTGAGAGATACGGATTTGATGGATGCACAGTTCAGTGGATAAGGAATTGGCTGGATGGTCACATCCAGACAGTAGTGGTCAACAGCTCAATGTCCGGATGGAGATCAGTGACGAGTGGCGTTCCTCAAGCGTCCGTATTGGGACCAGTACTGTTTAATATCCTCATCATCAATGGCATAGACAGTGGGATCAAATGTACCCTCAGCAAATTTGCAGATGACACCAAGTTGAGTGGTGGTGTTGACACACTGGAGGGACAGGATGTCATCCAGAGGGACCTGGACAAGCTCAAGACGTGGGCCCACATGAGCCTCATGAGGATCAACAAGGCCAAGTGCAAGGTCCTGCACCTCGGTCGGGGCAAGCCCATGTATCAATACAGGCTGGGGGATGAAGGGATTGAGAGTAGCCCTACGGAGGAGGACTTGGGGGTACTGGTAGTTGAAAAGCTGGACATGAGCCTCCAATGCGTGCCTGCAGCCCAGAAAGCCAATTGTCCCCTGGGCTGCATCAAAAGCAGCGTGACCAGCAGGTCGCGGGAGGGGATTCTGCCCCTCTACTCTGCTCTGCTGAGACCCCCCCTGCAGTACTGCCTTCAGCTCTGGGGTCCTCAGCCCAAGAAGGACATGGACCTGTTGGAGTGAGTCCAGAGGAGGGCCACGAAGATGATCAGAGGGATGGAGCACCTCTGCTATGAGGAGAGGCTGAGTGCATTGGGGTTGTTCAGCCTGCAGGAGAGAAGGCTCTGGGGAGACCTTAGAGCAGCCTTCCAGTACTTAAATAGGGCTTAGAAGAAAGATGGGGACAGACTTTTTACCAGTGGTAGTGACGCAGTAATGACACTGTAGTGAGAGAACAAGGGGTAACAGTTTTAAACTAAAAGAGGGTAGACTTAGACTGGATACGAAGAAATGAGGGCAGTGAGACATCACAGGTGTCACAGGGGAACAGGTTGCCCAGACAAGTTGTGGATGTCCCCTCCCTGGAAGTGTTCAAGGCCAGGTTGGACGGGGCTTTGAGCAACTTCATCCAGGCAAAGGTGTCCCTGCCCATGGCAGGAGGTTGGACTAGGTGACGTTTAAATGTCCCTTCCAATGCAAACCATTCTACAGTTCTATGATTCACACAAATTTCAATTTAAATGAGCAATAGCTATTTCCTTAACTTACTAAATGATAGAGAATTCTATGGGCAGAGGAAAAATTAGGCTACAGGACATTCATAATTAGTATGCTTTATAACTTATATTTTTTTGTACCTCAGTTCACCACCTTTAAAACAAGGACAGTTATCATTACTTTCTCTCAGTAGTGCACTATGAAGAAAATTCATTGATAGTAGTGAGTTACCTATATGCAGCATGGAAAGGAACAGAAAAGCTCCTGATAAGACTGTGCCCAAGTCTGGTATTGCATAGTATAGGAGGCAGAAGGCCATGAGTTATACAGGGAGGATATACTGAGGATAATACTGAGTATTTGTTCATTCAGTGAGCAGAAACTGTTCTTTGCAGTGAACACAGAAAATGTCGTTTGGGAAAAAAGTTTGCTTTGTCACGCAGGTCAAAGTATTACTATACTGTACAAGAGAGCTGAAACTATAGCTGCATGATCAGAGCCTCTCTCCATTCCCCAGATTAATATTAATTTTGTGCTGGTTTTCATCAAAGTATATTTCACACTTTCCCAGATAAGCGCTCACTGGATGCTAGCGTTCATCAAAAATTACAAATAAGCTCAGTGGTGCTTTATTCATCATGTGGGAGTAGCTCATGATTTTTTTTCTGCTTCACTCAAAAAGATAAGAAAGTTTGCATTCCTCTGCCAAACTGTAACCATATTGCATTTTGAACTTTATTTACATCTCTTGGTAGAGAGGTTAAAGAGTGCTATCAGGTTATCTCATAAATCAGAAGAATTTCACAAGATATTTTTCCTTACATGGATGGAATAACTTCCTTCCCGTCTTCTTCAGTTCTAATCCTATGTATTGTTTTAGTCTCCTAAAGTAGATATCAAGGTAGTGGAAGCAGACCTTTCGTTATTTCACGTCTCCACTGGCAGTCCTCAGTGACACATAAAAGCAATCTCATCGCTTGAAAAGGAAACCTAAGCCAGTGGGAGCACTTTCTAAAGTTGTCTCAAAATGGCGCATGCATCCCTCCCTTCCTCTAAATATTGGTGGGCTGCTGGTACAAAATTTCCATCTTCATCTTTTGTCTCTGAATCTTAGCAATCGTGCTACTTCACCAGTCGTAATGGTGACTCTATGAAGGATTTCAATAAATCAAGAGGCTACTTTATAATACAGTCAGTTGCCTAGTATAAACAGAGAAGAGTAACAGCTTGCTTGCAAAGCCTGAAAACCAAGAAACACATGGGAATTAAAATACTGCTTTTTATGGCAGCAGCATCTAAAATTAAGAACATCTCAATTAATTGAGTTTGACGTTCACAATTGAACTGTCCTGAAAAATCAATCAGCTAGAAAAACAGTTTCTTGTTGTTATAAAGAATACTCGGCTGTTATGGTCAACAGGCTCCTGAACTCCAGTTTTAGGGTCTCCATGTCAGCCTCAGCTATGCCCCCTCCTACACATTTTGAAGAACTTAATTTGATGACATAGTCCTGGATATGTCCACTGTCTTTGTCTATTATTATCCTTTTGTTACATGGCCAAATATGCAGAAAAATGTAATGATGCATATGTATTTACATCTTGATTAGAAAGAAAGTCCACATTATCACAAAGGTCTTTTTTGTACAATGTAAAACTTAACATTAGCTATAATTCTGGGAATACTTCATAGAACTAAACCGCTTCACCAAAACCAGATCTGTTACAGTCCGCAGATAAAAGATGGAAACACCACTACTAGAAATCAGGCTAATAATCGCATATGACTCACTAAACAAAGATTTTCACTATTATTACCAGACCCCCATAGAAAACATGAAATTCTAACCTATGTTAACAATGAATGTGTATTTTTCAATAAATTGTCTGTCCACTTATTAACACACCAACTATGCAAAAAAATTAAGTTCTCCAAACTTACCAGATTATATAAATTCCGTCTAATCTGCTGTATCACTCCAGGAAATGCAGGCTTTAGTAGCTCCTGATAGCTTGCAGGCCATGTGCTGTATCTGTGATCTTGTTCTATATTATTGACCCACTAAAACAAAAAAAGCCAGCTGTTTAAAAAAAATGTATTAACCACTGAGTAAAATATGTATGTATAAATAAAATTATTTTAAAACACATAGGAAGCCTGGAAAGAGTAAAGTGTTTTATCTTCTTTTTGAAATAGTAACAGAAAATAGCTTCTAAATTTTTTTTCCGTTTCAGTCAAACTGCTTGGGTTTTTTACGTGCAGTAAATAATAAAACTAACAACAGATGGAAAAGGAAAAAAGATCCTCTGTACTCTGTATCAGGATCTGAATAAAACCATTTTTTCAAGTGTGCAAACTACTTTCACAATACAAAGGTCATAACAATATCACACAGATATGTGTGTAACACAGCATAACCACCTTGTAAGACAAATACAGTATTTATCCGTATATATCATATATATTTGATATATGAAAATAACTAAGTAATTAACATGTGGCCAATTTGCTCTTCTGCTGTTTTCCGTGCAAGCCTGTCTATACTTGGCAAACACAACAGTGAAATATGGTTCTTTCAGGTGAAGAAAATTAGTCTTTTAGTGCCTTTCCCACTGGCATATAACCTTTATAATGAAAGCTGCATAAACTTTGAAAAAGAAGAAAAAAAAATGCAAAGTCATTGGACAATTAGAAACAAAATATTTATGTTCTCCATAATTCAATTATCATATATTTAAAGTACATTTAGCAGTCTTGCATAATACTAGGATATCACATAGCTAGATTAATTGCTGTAAAGTCAAATTCTATAGCTATGAATGTGTAACCACTCTTAGATACATTTCTCTTTTCTTTTAAATATCTTACATCTTAAATTTTTAATAAGGTATAGGCTAGAGAAAATTACTGCTAAAATATATTGAAGAGATACTATTCTCCAAAAATATTTTACATCACTTATCGATACATGGGTTTATGCCTAGTATTTTAATTATACTACAAAGCAAGATAGACTGTCTTATATATACCATCACCAAATATGTAACATTTAAATAAATAATTGTTTAATTACTCACTATTATCGAAGAGTGACGAATATCTAGCACATAACTGTCATCTGTAGGATGTATATGCAACCTCATAAATTTACTCAGGATCTCCTCTTTGATTCCAAGTTCATGAAGGCCATGCACCACTTTTCCTTCCAGTTTAAGAGTCTCCAAGATACTTTTTCAGGAAGAAAAAAATGCATAATGTCTACATAGAACTCTTGTCATGACATAAAAAGAAAAAATATTTCAAAGACTTAACACAAGGATTATTTTTAGTATTCAAAATAATTTTTATATTTTTCTGCAGTCAAATGTTTAAAACATAATCAATTAATAACACTACACTTACACATCTTCAACTTACTTCAAAACAGAATTATAACACATTATACAAATAATAGGAAGCTTTGCAAGTGTGTAGAGAAGCAAGCAGCAAGTGATGGAGACACAGACAAGCCCTAAATCTGCATCACAGCAGAACACTGAAAACAGTGTGGAGGAAACGCATGGCTACTCATCTACAAGAATAAGATCCAAGAGGACTCTGTAACATTTGTTGCAACCCAAAAATTCAGTGTGAGAATTGAAACAAACCTGAAGTACTCACCTGCTAGAACACAGCAGGTAAGATTTTCCAAATGCCTTTATTTCTATCTTGCTTCATTTTGAGCTTTCTCTATTCTGACAAGTTTCTTCGAAATTATATTGAAATTAAACCTAGCACTAGCATTAAAAAACACTATTAATATTTGCAGCATTATCAAAAAAGATGCAACTGACTCCATCTCAAAACTCTGGCTGAGAAAAAAATTAAGCAAAAATTGCAAGTATAATTGCTAAAACCAAGAAAGCTTAAGACTCTCCATGAAGGAGAAATTAAGACATTTTGAGTTACAAAATAGAAAATAAAAAATCGTAGACTCTAACAAATCATAGGAAAATGAAAAAAACCTCAGCCTTAGCATCAGTAGATTTACTGACAGTTTAGAGGCCACCAAAGATGATTTTGAAGTAGTCATGTCTGCCCTGCTGTTGACAATATACATAAGAATGCAAGGGAAAATGTTTACAGTTTATGAGTGCTTGCATAAAAGAGGTAAGTCACACCCAAAATAATAATACTATAATTACACAAACTGGAAACAGATTTCTTATACCAAAAGCAAATTAGTTCTACATTAACATAACTTATTATAAAAGGTGGCCAGTCACAGTCTCACAAGCGTGCCAAAAATAACCCAGGTGTTGTGTATTTAAATTTTCAAGAAATAGGGATGTAAAAACACTTAACTTAAAGATGTAAGTGCTTTTCCCACTTTTTCATACATACATGTTTGATTCCTTCAATTTTTAAATGAATTTTACACGGCGAGTCATAAAGTTCTAAGCAAATTATAAAACATACTCCAAGAGAAAATACTGTTTTCAACTAATTATACAATGTTCATGTTCAAAGTAAAACCACTGTAAACCAATATTCCCTTTACTGGAGCACTTCTTGGCCCCCAAAATGCAACAGATGAGATTATTTATCACCATGCCCGCAACTCTTCCAGTATTATTAGTAATTCCATAATTTTCAAATAAAATATACCACTCACTTGCGACACTTACCTAAATGGATCATGAAAATCCAGGTCAATATGAAGGCCATTTAGAAATAAACGGGCGTCTCCAGGTTGGATTCCAAGTATCTCATGAAAATGCTTAAAAATAAGAAGTATTGCTAAGTTATTTAGGACACTAACACACATGTACAGATGTATAAATATGTAAAACTTTAAGTAATTCTACACAACAGACACAACAAATCTCTTCCCTATAATTTCTTCTTTTAGTTGAGTGTTGTTGGTAAAAACATAGACACTATACTTTTACCATTACTACACTTTCAACGCTTAATACAAATACAAATGAAAACAGCTGATAATCCCCCCGAAAACAGCCTACAGTGTATACCTACAAGGTACAGACAAGAACACATTCACAGTGTCTGCCAACAGAAAGTGAAAATACACACAAATACAGAAATACAGCTCATAAGTTTTTGAAAAACTACCTCCAGCATATTCCTCCTACATATTCATTCACTTCCAAATGGAGATCAAAGGGAGACCCTACATGGGTCCTTCAGTTCACTTGAAACTAGCTTCTCAATAGCTTAAAATCTTTCACAGTTTCAAAAACGCATAGTCGCAATTGTTAGGGGAAGGTAGGAAAGACAGACTAGAAACATACAATCTCATCTAACAAAGGGACCTTGAAAAAAAAAAAAATCAGAAAGGCATAGCATATCTCTGCTTTGCAAAGAAGAAAAAAAAAACACAATAAACGAATACAAGAGGACAGAAGTGTTTAGGGAGTAAGGTATGCCTTATCATTTTATTTCAGAGCTGTGAGGCACCACACTGTTCAATCTACAGCAGCAGTAGCAAGATAAGTAACAGGAGCAACAGTAGCAGTTTATTCCAACTCACTCCATTGGAGCAGTCACATTTCCAGATCTGTCTTAATTCCCAGCAGAGGAATGGAAAGCATTAAAAATAGGCAGGAAAAAAGGAAGCTGAGAAAGATTTTTTTTTTCCCATTTAGCTCCCACTTGCTGAACAAAACAAGTGTGAACAAAAACCACACTCTGAGCAAGCAACTCAGGCTGCATCTATTACTCCGCTTATGAGCCCATCACCGAACAAATGAGAGAAAAAATGGGACAACATTGAACGTGATATTATTCCTTTAAAAGTAGTGTGCTACTTTCACACAGTTAAATGTAAGTAAATCAAAGCTAACTGGTTTGTGGCATTATAAGCACAACTCCACATAAATGAGACAACAGCGCACTTGAAGCTCCTTGCAGTCCAACAGATCTGCATATTACTTATTGTTAATTGAAAAAGTACCATATTCCTTAGTATATATAAACATTTCCACAACCCAAAGCAGAATGGAAATATGTAATGGCACCTAATATCAATGTATGAAAGGCATGGCTCTCCATGAAGTAAAAACGCAGCTGTGATAAGCTTGAGCCTAACACAGAAAGAATTTTTACAGAAGTCCAAAATCTGTCCCTGATCTTGAAAAACAGCTTTTGAAATTGGTAAATCTAACTTATTCTAGCAGTGTAACCTGAACTTTGTAGTGCTTTTATTGCTTTTTTGTATGTAGATTTACAAAAGATTAATAATTACTTATGTTTGTTACAAAGTATCTAAATACATATATTCAAACTCAGATATAATGTGAAGAATATGGTGGATTTGGGGCGGGGGAGGGAACTGCATCCCACTTATGCTAAGAAATAACCAAAAAGCCTTTTTTTAAAAAATTGTTAGTTATTATCTTCCACGAAAATTTTAGTAGGCACCTAAAAAATGGATGCCAATGAGCCTTTCAAAAATGAGGAGTATAAGTGTATAGCAGTAAGTTTCCTATGGCAGGATAAGGAAAAAGAGAAAGAGATGATTTAATTACTTTTCTAATTTATAAAACTCACTTTATTCCCAATATTATATTTATCTAAATTACAGAAGTATTCCTTTGGTATGTCCCAGAACTTGGTACAGAAGAGGAAGGACTTCTATCTTCTTCATACTGCTTTACTTTATTCTTTTATCTACCTTATACTTCTTTAACTGCTGCTTTGGATTACTCTGGCCCACGTGCAGGACTTCAGAAATCTTTGTAGTGACTGGTGTCTGACATTTACCTTTTTCCTACCACAGCTTCACACAGAATTACATACCCTCCCAAGGTCTCACTCTACACATCCCTTTTAAGCAGCCAAAATTCATAGATGCCTGACAATGCCAAGTGCCCTTGCAGCAGGTGAAATTTCTGATCATTTTACCTACACAGAGTTTGCCCCTGAGACACAAGCAAAATGGGCAGAAGGGACAAAAGAAAACAGCCAGACACACAGTGATGAGACTTCTCTACACCAGGCAGAGAAGCATCCAAAGATCTAGGTATACCTGAAATGTTTCTGTAGTTAGCAAATCCAACTTGGGTTACAGTTTTAATACCAGCATTCTGCCACAAAGTACTATGACCATAAAAAAATCACCCTTAATGCCACTGGACTCAAGGAGCGAACAATAAATAATAAAGAGGATTACAGTCTCAAGAAATCTTACCAAGATCCTTCAGGGCTCTTGCACAGATCTTGTGAGATCAGCTAGAACAGGCCTTCTCCTTGAAGCACTGAAATCAGTATTTAGGATAAGAGATCTCTTACCACCACTGAAAGCTTACTGATCATTCCTGCAAGCCCAGATACTCATGCAAACACAGATATTCAGAAAAACTACAACTGGCTGATATAGGTCATAAAAATCCTAATACTAAAATGAATGCAAGAACAATGAAAAAATTATCAGCCATTGGGTATTGAAAAGGGAGTCTAAAAGTTTTTTAAATCCTTCAGTACTGCAGTAGGAAAAGAACTGAACTGAATCAGAGCTGAGATTCTATACAATTTTGATGCTAGGCATTTGATCGTTCAGAAGAACATCCATTTGCTGTAACAGCTTTGATGAAAGGAGTATTTAGGCATTCAAGACTAGAATTTAACACTGATAATACTCATATAGTATTCTCTTGCTGAACTGTCAGCAATTATTGCCCTGGAAGTCGTGAGTTGTGTTTAATGAGATTTTATTATTCCTTTTATGCACAGAAGTTCTTTGGCTATTTCTTAGTTAGGTATCAATTCACTACACCTAAATCATGACATGTCTTTCAACTTTTAATACCTTTATTTGCTCCTGTCACATTTCCTATTCAACTTTCATTATCTTGAGAAGGAATCACCTAGTTACACACAGCATGAGATCATATCTCTCCTGCTGCTAGATGGATGTACTGCAGTTCAAGAATGCACATGCCAATTTGTTGTACTCTACCAGCAGTGTTCAGGAAGTTTCCCTACTTTTATTCAACAGATTTTAGCTGTTAGCTGTCTAAAGGCCTGTAGCCTTCAGACTACAGGCAGGATATATTATGAAATTTAAACTTAGTGTCATAGGTGCCCAAGATCCTCTTATAGTTTATATATTTAATACAGTCATGGAATCACAGGAGTGATTCAGCTGACCAACCACATACATATCCAATGTCATTTGTTTCAGGATAAGGCATCTTGGACTGGAAAGATGGATAGGTCAGGCAAAAAGGAATGAATGTCCCAGTGGACACATCTGCCAGCCCTGTCAGGCTATCTTGGATAGCCTGTGGCACCTCAAATGACATCAGAAATTCAGGTTTTAGGCAACTCAGCCATTCCCTACAAAATAACCACTGAGTGAGCTAAATTGTTTTTGATGTCCATTGACTACATCTTCATTGTCATAACAGGAGTTTAGATACCATATAGATGTGCCTAAATGCAGACATCTTCATTTCAAACCACATCTTAGTTACTTTTCCCAACCCTTATATTTAGTAATAATAGCCATTTTAATTCCTGATACACCTTTACTTTTTTTGCATTTTGGGGTAGAGGAGCAGTTTTTTATTAGGCAGTTGTTTTTGATTTTTGTGTTAATAGAGCTGCAATTTGAGAAAGACATTGTAAGGACTTCATCAGGAACAAGGGAAGTCCTTAGAGCTGCAATTTGAGAAAGACATTGTAAAAGACTTCATCAGGAACAAGGGAAGTCCCGATACCGACACTCATACTCTGGAGAAACTATGATCATCAGGGCTTTGTTTTGCTTTATCCTGACTATAATCCTAACAACAAAGAGATTGTCCTGGTTTGGCTAAAATATGGCTATTTTCTCCTTTCAGGAGTTTTT